AAGGGTGATGTTACATTTTGGCTTATTGATAACAATTAACTTTCCCATTTGATATTTGGAGGGTACAGAAATCGAAGATTTCACAATGCTGGAATGAATGGTCTCTGGATTAATCTGTCCTAAGAGTAGCACTCCTGCTTACAATGATTAAACACAATAGCCATGGAGCCATGCTGAACCCAACGAGATATACATATCATCATTTTACATATTCTATCCTAGGTGTAAATTCAGTGTTTGGGATCTTGACATCCCAATCCAGGGTATGGCAATGCATCACTTCCTGCTTTACACACGAGTGTAAAGCATGAAGTGAACATTGCCCCTGATGACCTGGAAGTCGGCCCTTTCTTAGTACAGAAAGCAAAAATGACTGACATCTGGGACATTAGGACACTAATGATGCCACTTCCTGCTTTGGGCAGGTGGGAAAAAGGAGGAAATGATGTCAGCAATGATTTAATGACGCAGAAGTCCGACATTTTGCACATAAACCAGCTGGCAGGTGAGAATGGGGTTCAGAGTGCAAACGTCTTACAACCAAATTTGTGCTGTAATGCATACAACAGTATATCCAATAGTGATTGCTCACTCAAGCAAAATGCAAAGCTAATGGCTCCACTGTAAACTGTGAATATAGAATTAACCTTACAGTCTTTTGGAATAATATTTGCAAAGGAAATAACGTGAACTTAACCACAATACAGCCAACAAAGCCATCTTATTTTCCTTTACTGAAAAACGTCATTACACAAAAGTGATGCCGTGAATGTATGAGCAGCAAGATTACGAATCTGACCAAGATCAGCAGTCAAGGGCAAAAACCTAAAATGACTGCGTTCATCCAGTAACAGCAGATTTTGGAAGGGAACCAATTATACCATCCAAAGCAACAGCTGGTAACACATGCTTGAAATATAGAAGTATCTGCTTTAAAGTATTATAAGGAGAAATGGGGGGAAAAAAATTCTTCATTTATGAATCCACCGTAGACTGTCAGAGAGTGTCAACAAAGAAAATTACAAAATAGGAAACTATTGTGTGGCAAATTAACTGGACTACGCTGAACCTTTTCAATGTACAGGAAGGTCCAATGGTTTTGCCTTGACAATAGAATAATATGACACAACATTCATTGGAAAAGGCAAGTATTTTCATTTTAAAAAAATAATCAGAGCAGAGCAAGGTATTCAGCAGCTACAATAACAGTGCTCTCTGACAATGCTCATTGCTGTGGAAGGAATCTGTAGTTAATTTTTTCAAAATATTGTCAATGTGTTCCATTGTAGTTTCAAAGGTTGATGTCATGCCCTGCAATCTTGCAACAGTGTGAAACAAGTTGTAGTATTACATTTCCTTTTTGCTCTTATACTCGGATATAAAATCAAATAGAAAATAGAAAATTTACTGAGCAGTAAAGATCCATCAGACATTAAGGGTAATGTTTTAATCTTTAATCTTCTCTTTTTGTTAATTACAGGATATTGTATTTTGTTAAATGTTGCCAATTATTTTCACTGCCAAGCTTGTTTGATCATATACATAATCTGTTGTCTGAGATGGACTGAAGAGAAGGGAGTTTTTCACGATGTATTGGCCAACTAGCTATGCGCCAGATTTATTGGTCATTCATCTCATGGCTGGTTATGGGAACTTGCTGGGCAAAATTGCTGGCACGTTTGTCTTAAAAAATTCAGTAACTTCACTTGCTAATAATAATAATCCTTGCATTTGATATAGCACCTTAACGCGTCTTTTAGAGATGTCTCAAAGCGTTTCACAGATTACACTGTAAAGTGAATTGACTGTATATTTTGTGGGCAAAACATGTCAGGCAATTGCGCACAGCAGTGTCCCACAAACAGTTGTGGATTAAGTGACCAATTATTGTTTTATTACCCCCAGAAAAGCGATCCGCCAATTGACTAACAGCCAGGTTTCTACTTACTGCTGGTAAACAGAGGCTTGTGGAGTAAGGAAAGTTGCCCAACGTTTTGCCCTGCCGGGAATCGAACTCAGGTCTCTTGTTTGACCGTGCCTTCAGCTCCCCTCTCGACTCTCTTCCCCCTCCTCGCTCCCTCCCTTCCCTCCCCTCACCCTGACCATTTCCCCCCTGCTCGGGTCATGACCCAACTGTGCAGCGCCTTGGGACGTCCTCCTGACGTGAAAGGCGCTTTATAAATGGAATCTTGTTGTTGTTGTTTGCGAGGCAAGTGCTCTAACCACTGAGCTACAGGATGCCACATTGATAGTGATTTCTTGTTAAGTATGTATGTGTGTGTGTTGGTGGGGGGGTGGGGAGATTGGTTAGCAAAGTGTCTGACACATGTGGACCCCATCACCATGTTTAAGAATATCCAAAGTACACTAAATGTTCTGCATATATATGCTACCTATACAATATGTGGCAAACTCCATGCTACATATCCAGCTAGGACCATTCCACCCAATAGGGCTATGGCTTGAAGGGTTAACAGGAGCTGAGTGGGAAGAATCCCAGTAGGGAGATTGTAGATGTTTTGACATATTAAGGTGCTACAAAATTACTCTTTCTTTTAATCATGGAACTGCTATATTCTTATTTCTTATAGATTTGTTCCCTATATAGACCAGACCATCTAACACAATGCAGCATAATTACTGACTTCTGGTGGTAAACTTTCCTTGAAATTTCCAATACAATGCAAATTTACATTTATATAACACCTTTTACATTAGGAAGATGTTCCAAGGCGCTTAACAGAACCGGCTTGGTACACAATCCATACTTGCCGACAACATATTCATATTTGCTCTGAAATACAAATACATTATCATTCTCCTTTTGGGACAACTACAAAATGTGGCGTGTAGGGTCAAGGACTGCTGTGAACTATTTTATGCCCACTTTTCCCTCTTAATGAGAAATGATTGTGTTCATAGTGAGGCAATTTAGGGTTTGGGTTCACAGACTTGGCTGTGAACATTCCAAAGCAGTGCTGGGGGAGCGAATGCATTGTTGGGAGATGCAGTCCATCGGTTAAGACATTAAACCAAGCTCTCGTCTATCTATTCAGGTGGGAGTTAAAGATCCCATGGAACTATTCCAAAGGAGAAGGGCGTTTCTTCTGGTGTCCTGTCCAACAATATTCAGATAAAATTATTAATTCACCTCATGGCTGTTTGTGGGAACATGCAGTGTGCAAATTGACTACCCCGTTCACCCGCAACTACATAGACCTTACAAATGACAGTAATTTCCTGTTAAACACTTTGAGACTTTGATTTTAAGAGGCTCTATATCAAGTGCAACGATTATTATTTTATTATTATTATAATCCAAGATGAGAACTGACAAATAATACTGAACGAGGTACAAAATTGACCTCCTAATTTGAAAAATCACAAATGCTCACGACTACACCATTTAAAAGAAAATGATATGCAATGACTGCTTATTAAAAAGAAACATTTAACAGTAAGAAAGCACTAAAATAAAAAAAGTGTACAGTAAAGCTCACAAAGGTCATATCAGTCGGGACCTTAACATTTAATATGACTTAAGCGAAGTCTGAGTTGCAGACCAACTGTATAAGTCATATAAAATCCAATTTAATCAATAATCTACACAGCGCTTGTTTAATTCAATGAAGCTGGTAACTATAACTAAGTGCACATGTGATGACGGGTCCCACGATTCATTGTGCCTTGACCATTGCCGCATGAACACTTATTGGCAAGTGTTGGAAGTGCACTGAATCACAGGAAATGAAGTTCTTCTGCGCATGCGTTGCCAGATCAAGACTATGTTTCCTGCGATTCAATGCAGCCGGCTGGTATGTGCTCAGTTGTGGTCAGGTCAGGATGTCATTTCCTGCGCTTCAGCGCAGTCAGTAAGTGTATGGAGGATAGGGGAGCGGCCTTACAAGTTAGGAAGTGATTAATACAAGTAGTGCAAAGAAACCAAAGTGGTTTTGATAGGAAATTGAATGGGACTCGGCTGAATGTAAAACTTAGGCAATTATATCATTTATAGATAAGGCTTGTACAAGTTTCATTGTTTCACGGACTGAAAAGCATGAGCAAAGGGTGAGCAGGTTATATAATTCCATGTCAGGAAGCAATTTTTTGGGGAAAACTTCTTGTTATTTATTATTATTTTTCATTCTGTGTGGCATTTAATTTCATTTTTACTAATATTTGTTTAGAGACAATGTTGTTCATGATTTCAGCATTATGTTTTGATTAGTATGTCGCTCTACTGAATTAAACAACAATAACTTGCATTTATATTGGGCCTCTGACAGGATAGAATCTTGGAGTGCTGCACTGTGGCACTGTTGGATGCTGAACAGGGGGGAGGAGGAAGCATCACAAAATGAAAAAAGCACACATAAATACAATGATCTCTTCTTAGTAAAAATATGCTTAGTTTCTATGAATTCTGAATACACAACACCAAAGACCAATAAATCACAGAAACTTTACAGCACCAGAGGCCATTTGGTACATCATGACTGTGCTAGTGCTGCCTTCCTCACTGCAGCAATCTTCTTTAATCTCATTCCCCTGATCTTTTCCTGTACCTCTTTGATATTTTTCTTGGGAGTATTCATCCAATGCTGTTAGATACTTCAACGGCCATTTGCACTGCACATTCATAACCCGCAATACTGTGTGATAAGCTCCGTGAATGGGTTTATTAATAAATGTGGATTGTTGGAAGTATACACTGGCAGATGATTTTTTATTTCAGCATCTTAGCAGATCTTGGGAGTTTTGAGCTCAAAAAGCTTGATCAGGCAAGTTTCTCTCACCACAGTCCATTGAAGGGTTATGATAATTTGTAGATTTAAGTGCAGTTCAGTATAAATACTTAGTCCCTAACATTTCATGCAGATACTGAAATGTCACAAACAATATCTCAGAAAAATAATCAATATTCAGCTTGTTTATCTGTAGGGAAAAGATGCCTGACATCCACTGAAATGTAATGAAGGTTATCAAACAAATGCACACACCCTTATTCCTGGCGCTGTTTTCTTGGCTTCTGCTTTCAATCTTGTTGCTTTTAAAACTGTTTTAGTTTTCTTATAATCTTGTTTTCCTGTGGGTAATAAAATATTTGTTAGCGATATGCGTTATTTCCATATGAAAGAGACTTTCTTCGCATCTTTTAAACACTTATGGCAATACAGAATATATTGTCAAATTAAACGCAGGTCATTGCTTGACATTTTGTAACAGTTATAACGATATCACTATAACATTTGAATTCCAAGTGCCAGAGTTTTTGTATGGTTTTGTTCTTCCTAATGTAGTTAGGAAATAGATAAGACCACTCCGTAAACTAAAAACAATGTCAATCCTTGAAGCAGCCTTTAGAGGTAAGGTTGCTTGAGACAAGCTATCTGGAAAATGGTTATCATAGAATCATAGAATTATACAGCACAGAAGAAGGCTATCGTGTCTGTGCTGGCTCTTTGAAAAGAGCTATCCAAATCAATCCCACTCCCCCGCGCTCTCCCCATAGCCCTGCAAAACATGTCCTTCCCAAATAATTATCTACTTCTCTCTTAAAAGTTGTTATTGAATCAGCTTCCACCATCCTTTCAGTCCATGCATTCCAGATCCGAACAACTCGCTGTGTGAAAAAAATTCGCCACCGCCCCTCTGCTTCTTTTAACAACTATTTTAAATCGGTGTCCTTGGGTTACCGACCCACCCACCAGTGGAAATAGTTTCTCCTTGTTCACCCTATCGAATCCACTCAGAATTTTTTTTAAGACTTCTATTAAGTCTCCTCTTAACCTTCTCTGCTCTAAGGAGAATAATCCTAGCTTCTCTTGCTTCTCCTGATAACTGAAGTCCCCCATTCCTGGTACCATCCTGGTAAATCTCCTTTGTACCCTCTCCAATGCCTTGCCATGCCTCCTAAAGTGTGGTGCCCAGAACTGAACACAGTATTGTAGCTGAGGCCTAACCAGTGTTTTATAAAGGTTCATCATAACTTCCTGACTTTTGTATTCTATGCCCCTATTTATAAAAGACTAGTATCCTGCATGCTTTTTTAATATTAAAATGAGATACAATCCAAACAGAAGAGGAAAACAAGAGGTGATGTTGCATAAAGAATTCTGAGTTAAGATGGACTGTTAGATTAAAGTACCTCTTGTAATGGGGATTTAATGCGACCAGTGTTGGAAAAAAAATTTGTAAGAGTGATGCATAGGTGTTGGCCTGGTTCATTTTGTAGCATTCTCACCATCTGAGTAAGAAGGTTGTGGGTTCAAGCCCATTTTGGGACTTTAATAATAATAATAATCCTTGCATTTGATATCGCGCTTTTCACGTCGGGAGGACGTCCCAAAGCGCTTCACAGAATATACTGTAAAGTGAATTGACTGTATATTTGTGGGCGAACGCGGCAGCCAATTGCGCACAGCAGTGTCCCACAAACAGTCGTGGATTGAAAATGACCAATTTATTATTGTTTTGTTTTGGAGGGATTAATATTAGGCTCTGTGTGGAGTAAGGGAACTTGCCCAAGGTTTCGCCCTCTGCCTGGAATTGAACTCAGGTCTCTCGCTTGCAAAGCGAGTGCTCTAACCACTGAGCTACAGGACTCCACGACTTTGATCTCAACAGTCCAGTCTGATACTCCAATGAAGTGCAGCGGGTGCATTACATTGAAGGAGGTGCTATCTTCTGGATGAGACATTAAACCAAGGGTCCTTCTACCTGTACAGGTGGACTTTAGGGTTTAGGTCACATGCCACTATTCCAAATGAGAAGTGTGTTTATCCTGATGTCTTGGCCAACAAACCGTCTCCCCCTCCCCTAGATAAAATTGTTTATTCACTTTATGGTTATTTGTGGGGTATTCTGTTGGATGCAAATTGGATGCCACATTCACAAATATAGTCACACTTCAGATTAAATGCTGTAAAGTGAAAGGCGCGATTCCAGTGCAAAGATTACTATTATTAACAGTAACCGTGTGCAGCTGCAGCTTTGAACGCTCCCGAAATTGTAAGTGTGTGAGGGGTGCCAGTGAAGAACTCCAGATCGGAGAAGTGACACAGAGAATGGAGGAACATCATTGCACATTATAATAATCCTTTCATATAATATATCACCTTATTATGTCGTTGAGATGTCTCAAAACGCTTCACAGAATATATTGTAAAGTGTATGTATATCGACCATGCACTTTGTAGGCAAAATCCAGTAAACAGAAGTAAACAAACTTTCCATATTTCCACAGCAGGTAAGCCCAGAAAATAAATACTGCCCACTGCTGTAAACTGAACCCACTGCTGAACTTCCTCCACCCAAACTCAAGCCTGTGCTTTTACAGATAGAAAAAAAATTAGCTTTTATATGATGGCATTTCAGAAATTGTAAAAATATGTCCATAAAGAGTAGATCAATGCAGTGGCAATACTGTACGTCTATCTAAATAAAGTAGTGCTGAGGATTATAGAAAGCCAGGCTATTTATTTAATGCAATGACATGGAGCTGATGTTTTTTAGTTGGTACTTATTAAGTATGTATATATGCTGTGTGTGTCATTATAAACCAAGTACATGGTTTACATTGACACAAAATGGGGGAGGATAAAATGGGCAGGGACACAATCATACCCACCTTATGGTCCATCCCCATTTTAAACATTAATGTTTACTGCTTATCTATATGAATGCTTTCATTTTCTTTGTTTTGCTATGTTTAATCTTTTATTTAGTTTACTTTTGATAATTTTGCTTCTCCTTGTTCTTCATCTATTGTGAAGATGTGTGTGAGCTCGCGCATTGGTAGCACTCTCGTCTCTGAGTCAGAAGGTTGTGGGTTCAAGCCCCATGTCAGGATTTGGAATCACATATTCTAAGATAAGCAATGCAGTGCTGGGGGGGGCTGTTAGATTGAGATCCCTGCCTGTTCAGGTGGGCGTTAAAGATTCCATCGTATTATTCGAAAAGAGAAACAAGTTTCTTCCCGGGGTCCTGGACATCAAATTCCCCAAATGAAATTGGTCACTCACTCCATGGCTGTGGGATATTGCTGTGCGCAAACTGGCTGCTGCATTTCACTTATAAAATACACAGTCAATTCACTTTACAGTATATCTTGTGAAGTGCTTGGAAACATCTCAATGAAGTGATAAAGCGCTATATCAAATGCAAGGATTATTATTATTATTATTAATATAATTATGATGCTGGACGGATTCTTGAATTTAGTTGTCCAATCCAAATAGATTGGTGGGGTAAGGGCAGGATGAAACAAAAGAGAAAAATGATTATTGTGGGAGTGAGAGTGAAGAGAATATCTGCATTAACACCATAAGAGTTTTGCAACAGAAATGAGGGTATCCACTTGTATGATTTATCAGCTGTGCCACAGAGGCCTGTGTTTTTGCCATTTGTTGATACTGATGACCAGGCTCATTAACATGTGAATGTCTCTAAATTATTTTATGAACACTTACATCTCAGTGGCTCAGAGCTTTATTCCCTGCAGACTTTAAAATTCTAGCCTCATTATCATCATCCAGCAGTCCTGTGCCTCATATGCATTTTGTGCTTTAAAAATTAATGCACTGCTATTTCTGAATACCACATAAGCTGCTTAAGTCTGCATTATACTGTCAGTGGACGCTTGCAGAGGAGCTCGGCAAACTGTTCACTCAACAAAAATACAGCTGTGCAGCATCAAAGGAACATCCTTTCACCCCACGAATGGACTCACACCTGTGTTTATTTCTACTTTTATTGCAATTTGCAACTGCAAATACTTAATTGCCTTTGATTAGGCAAATAAAATTCAGAGCTTTAATCTTGTGAACAAGTTCTGGAGTACATCATACTCTCCTGCCAGGAAAAAGCATCATTGGACGGGTGCAATCTATTGATCTAGGAAATAAAGTTTCTGTAATTACTGGGTGAGGTTTCCTCTTGCCACAAAGGGTAGCAAGACTGTGACAATGTGCACTTAGAATGGGAAATATCCCATTAGAAGGTGCACAGTCAAAATGATTACGCTTAACAGCAAGAGGAATTTCTCGCCCTTAAGGGGCCATGTTCCCCTGAACAGTAAAATAGGGCGTTAAGCTAGTTTACCAATTCTCTGACAGCTCCTGCTAACAACATCAGCAGCGTGCCAGAAATTCCAGACCCAACGTAAGCTCCCAGGCAAACCCAATTCTTATAGATGAAAGTCTTCATAGGTGAAATTAGTTTCATCGCTTCACGGCTACTCTAGAAAAGAACTAAACATTTTACATTACATTTTACTGATAAAACTCAGCAACCTGAAACGTTAACCCACTTTCCTCTCTCCATAGATGCTGCCTGACCTGCTGAGTGTTCCAAGTGACTTTTGTTTTTATTTCAGATTTCCAGTATCTGCAGTATTTTACCTTTTATTTTACATTATGTTGGCCTCATTAACCTTTCAGGACAAGTGTTTGGTTAAATACACAAAGGTCAGGGAAGATGAAAAGGCTAAATATCACACACTGGTTCATTTGCAATAACTTAATAATAAAAACAGCAATCTACTACTTTTGATGTAGCCCCTAATGACGTAGGAGGATGCCTCTAAGCACTTCACAGGATAATCTGTAAAGTGCAGGGACAGTAGTTTGTAGGAGAATGCAGCAGCCAGTGTGCATACAGCAACGAACCACAACTGCCATGCAGCAAATGTGGACACATGATGCATTTACCGTGATCACAATGGAATTCTCTGGACATGCTACTCTGACTGCGCGATGCAATGTACAACTTTAATGCACAAGCATATGCATTTTTGGAACCAATCCTACTAACAAGATGCACGCTCAATTCTTGAGAAACCGCTAATTTGTGTGTATGATGTAATGTACATGCATTCCCGGAAACTGAAAAAAATTGGAGAATTTATTTTTTCCCTTAATCAAAATCCTGGAGAATTGTATTTACTACTAGACTTTCACTAAAACAAAAAGGGGTGAAAATCGGTATGAAGCGACTTAAAGAGGTTCTAAAATAAAACCCCAGTAAAAATGTTCTTCAAATATGGAAAAAAATCAATAAATAGTCCTTATTATATGACCTTCGAAC